TCAGAGCTGCAGATACGCTTTCAAACAACTCCATGAATTAAAACACTGTTCAAATTATGCACAACAACAAGAGTAAAACCATCTCCTCAAATCCTCCTCTCCAGTGTCACCTGACCCAGGAGACGTCACCTTGATGATGTGTCTCTGCGCCGTGTGTGCAGACACACACATGTGATCAGGCAGGTAAACACGAGTGGCCCACCTGAGTCTGTGATCACCGTGCGGGTGACGCTCTTTGGGTGGAGCCAAAGTCCTGACGGTGTAAAACTCTTCATGAACACGAGTAATCACTTAGCACGTCACCGTGGAAACCAAGACAACAAAGACTTCATCAGGATCTTTTCCTAAACTCAGCCGCACTGCTTGGTTTCAGTTAATAACGAGTTTAAAAATGCTAAAAATAAAAACGTGAACGTCTGCCAGAATGATTTGCTGCTCCACCCACTCCTCCAACCTGATGGTGCCGAGCTTTTCCACCGTTTCAAACAGGAAACTATTAACTTTGTGTACAGTGAAAAGAATCAGCACAAATCAGAGAAATCCCGTCCAGAAACCAAAATCAGCAGATTAACTGTGACAATTTCTCAGGTTAGTGCAGAGCTGAAGACGTCACCGCGCAGGTGGAGGAGAACGTCAGCTCCACCCACACGTGAACGTCCCGTTTCACGCCGAGCGATGCTCCGCTCACAAACGAAAGGGACTCACAATCAGCTGTTTGAGGCCGTTGAAGGACGGATCCACGGAGTTGGCTGTGAGGACCTGACGCTTCGCCGCCGCCGCCTCTCCCAGAAAACGAAGCATTAGGTCCTTGACGGCGTCGCCCTGTTTTTAAAAACACAGAAATTCAACATCATCCAAAAGCAACATGACAGAAACGTCCTCGCGGTCACCTGAACACGAGCGTGGGCGGGTCAGAGTTCCTACCTGCAGGTTGTCAAACTTGAGTCCTGGCATGGTCAGTCTGCTGCTCTCCAAGTAGGCGGGGCTGTACTGCTGCGTTGCCACAGAGATTAGCACCTTCCTGGTCTCCTCGCACGGCAGCCAGGCGTCGTGGCGCCTGTCTGCCTCGTTCAGGCTCAGCGCCGTCGCAAACGCGTCGTCGCTGCCTGAAAACAGCTGGTTGAAGGGCTGTGGTGGGACAGCTGGAGCTGAGGTGGGGGCGGAGCCTGGAGCCGAGGCTGTTCGAGGTGTGGGTGGCTGGAGCTTGGGGGATGGTTCAGCAGGGACGAACGCTGAGCTCGGTGTGGGAGCGCCAGAGTCCAGGTTCCCTCCAGGGGTAGAGATAGAGGAGGAGGTGGAGGAGAGCTGGCGCTCGGGTGCGTGGGCGGAGCCTGGAGGGATCTCAGCATTGGGGTTGGACACGGAGATGAAGGAGGAGGGGGCGGTAAAGGAGTCGAAGAAGTCGGACGCCGGGTTGGTCTGTCCGTTATCTGTGAAGAACTTGCTGAGGCTCGGGCTGGGCTGGCACACAAGCGCCCCCGCCATCTTATTGGGCGTCACGGTGTCTTCGCCGCCGCCCATGCTGAAGCTGGGCGACTTGATGAGGGTGGGCTGGAAGCCGTCGGGCACTAAAGACTTGGGCTGGGTGCCCTGGCTGAATATGGTGCACACGGGGACAGGCTCGTCCTTTGGTTTGGCCGCTGTGGTGATCTCCGGCGCCGCTTCCTCGCTGTGACTGTCAGACAGACTCTTCACGTCACCCGGGGAAACGGCGCTGGTCGCCACCTCCTCTGGTTTTTCCTGCGAGCCTCCGTCCTCCTGCTCCTCCACCAAAACTTTAATCTCAGTCGTATTCTGTCCGATCTCGCTCTGCTCCTCTTGGTTTCCCTCCACCGCGTTCTCCTCCTCGCCTCCATCCAGGAGGGAATCGATGGGCGCCACGTCATCCTCCTCGCTGTTATTGGGCGAATCAGAAATCATGACGCTCTCCATCATCTGGTCGTTGAGCTTGTCCATGAGGCTCTCTGAGGGCGTGGCGCTGCTGTCCTCCTGTGGTGTGGCGAAGTCCCGACCTAGATCGATGCTGTCCTCCTGGGGCAGAACACCGTCTGTGGGCGGAGTCTGACCTGTGGTCACCTCAGGAGGGGCTGGAGCCGAGACTTCCTGGTTTACATCCTCCACGGCGATGTCCAAGGAGACCGGCCGCTGGGCGTGAGCTTCCCCGCTGTCCATCTCACTGCTCTGCACACAGAAACGCACAAACACATGAACTAACAATTCCTCTCATTGTCGTGTGGCGTTCCTGTGAAGCAGGGACACTCATTTCCTGTCATTCTTCATTGTTTTCAATTTTTATTACAGGTCTCTGCGTCGCGGGACAGAAACATCAGGTGAAAGAGGACAAAAATGTCCAGTTATGATGTGTAAAATATGCCTGTAGAGGAAAACTACGAGCTGGAAACAAGTAGAAAGATGTTTTTAGGGTTGGTGACATCGTCTCACTGTTGGTGTCACGTGAACTGGAAAACTAAACTTTCAGAAAGTTTGACTGTCAAAAGAGATTCAGTCATTAAGACTCCAAATTTTTGTGACAACTTTAAACTTAAGATGTTTAAAGAATAAAGTGAGAGCTGGGACAGCAAAGCAGGCGTGTCACCGCTTCCACAGGAATTAAGAGGATGAGACGCAGGGAAACGTTGCTAATCAAATACATTTATTAACTGATCATCATCAGGGTGAGCACCTCTGTAAAACGAGAAGTCTGCAGGTCTGAAGCACTCAGATGCGTTCACGCAATGACACAATCGTCTCAGGAGTGGACGGCCCAGCAAATTCACCTGGGCCGTCCAGGTAAAACCGGTAATTGGGTCGTTTCTGTCTGTCATGCTAGTGCTACTTTAGCCAGCTAGCTCAGGTTAGCCAGCCGAGCCGAGCTACTAACCGTTAAATGCCGCTAACAGTGTTTTAAAACAGCGCAGAGCGTCTTCGGCTGCTCCGCTGCCGCTAACATCACCGCACAAAGAGCCGCAAACGCATAAAAGAGCAGGAAGAGAAGCAGGACGGACTGTTTACTTACCGTACTGCAACCTGACAGACGCGCCTGTAACACGCATGCGCCACACAGTACAGCTACTAGTACGGTGCGTCAGAGAGGACACGTTTCATGTTTGCTATTCCGGGTCTTCTTCTACGTTGTTTTTAAAGCGTAAGTGTCGTCACACGGCCGTCGTTGCGCATGCTAACCGTACGTTTCGGTTTTAAATCGCGGAAGTGAGGCGCTGTGTTGTGTTTGGAGCAGAAAGGAGCGCAGAGGCGCTTTCTGAGCGAAGCCTTTCATTAAAAGAATCAAACCGCGCAGAGGACGCAGCGCAGATGGAGGACGACGCTCCCGTCATTTACGGGCTCGAGTTTCAGGTGCTGCTGCTTCACTGCGGCTCCATTCATTCCCGTCGAGCTGTCTGACAGCTGCCTCTGCGCTGGAGTCTTGTATGTAATCCTTACTCTGTACTTCGTTACTCCGCAGGCTCGAGCTCTGACGGCGCAGGCAGCTGAGACCGACGCTGTTCGCTTCCTCGTGGGCACGCAGTCACTCAAGTTTGACAACCAGGTGAGAAGCACCAGTCCACAGGTGACGGAGAGCTCGGGGTTAGGCGAAATCATGTAAATACTAAAAACAGGGACCCGGGGGAGGCGTGGAAACATCACCACAAAAACACTCCAGTAATTTTTAATATTCGTACAGTCCCCAAATATATGGTAGCGGTGTGCTGCCCCGAGCCACAGAGCCTCCATCATCACAGTGCGCCTTTGGAGCTGGGCTAATAAAACACGGCAGGAATTTTCCAGCACACCTTTCCTTCCACACCTGTGATTCCTGGTTTTCCAATGAAATAAACAAATGTGTTGCCATTCTTCCTCTGTGGTCACTGCACCCCTCTTTCTCCCATCTTTCCTTTATGCACTTCTTTGAACGCTTGTTGAAGTAATGAAGACTTTGGAATACTTGTGAGATTACACCTTTTTGGTTTCTGACTTATAAGCATTTATAAAGATAAGCGGCCTCGCTGTAGTGGTTCTTTGAGTTTGAATGTTTTGAGTATAGAAGTTTCTTAACTGAACAGCAGCCTGACTCCTGCCAGACAAAGACACAAACTGATGGAAAAAAACTTGGAGAAATTAATTTTATTCATCACTGCATCACAGCTAAGATTTAAATTTCCTCCCACTTTGCGACTTTAACGGGTTTCCTGCTTACAATGGGACTTTACAGCTGATTACACACATAACCATGTAAATAAGGAGTGTGTTTATTTTAGTAAAAACAAAGAAATACACCTTTTAGACCCCAGCCACCTCCTCCCGCTCCTCCGGGGGAGCACCGAGGTGTCTGGGTCCGCCTCAGGGCTCCTCACAGTAGGACGTTTATGAAACGGCCCGCCCAGGAGACGTCCTGGTCTCAGTGTGGAGGAGCAGCGGCTCTGCTCTGAGCTCCTGAACTCCTCACCTGATCTCTAAGGGAGAGGCAGCCGCCCTTCAGAGGAAGCTCCTTTTGCCTGCTTGTGTTCACAGTCTTGTTCCTTTGGTTCCTGCTCTGCTTCTGTCTCCTCCGTGAAGCCCCACCTTACCGTGCAGAGGGGTGTGTGTGTCCCAGTGTTGTCGGGGTGCCTTTGTCCTCTGTTAGGGTCTCACAGGACACCTGGAAACAATGCTTCTGAACTGTGCCTGTAAATATGAGAATTTAAACATGCATTCAAATGAAGTTTAATGAGGTTTAATGCAGGGGTGTCCAACTCCAGTCCTCGAGAGCTGCTGTCCTGCCATCTGAAAGCTGCAGGACTGGAGGTGGATCCCTGGTTTGGTGTGTTTGAAAGCACTCAGCAGGTTCAAAGGAAAGGACGCAGGAAATCAAAGTTCAGCATCTCTACAGACCTCCAAACCCGGGGTCAGAGGTCAGATATGTAAAGTAATCAGGACTTTCTGTGTTAGCATCCTCAGAGACGCTGTGTTACAGGCAGCTGAAGGCTTTTATTCACATGCTTTATGAGTTTGTAGCCATGTTATAGACTCTATGTTCAGCTTTAAAGATGATTAATTATGTGTTCAATGGTTATATTTAGAATTAATATCAGCTCCTCTGTGTGTGTGTGTGTGTGTGTGTGTGTGTGTGTGTGTGTGTGTGTGTGTGTGTGGTGCAGGAAGAATGAGAGCATGCATGCACATCTTGCAGAGGTCATTACGGAGACAGATGACAGAAACAGTTGGCTCTAAACGGGGGAGAAATAATTAGCTGTGTGACAGCGAGGGAGAGATTTGTGCCTTGAATAAGCGAGCGTGTTTGCTGGCAGACGTCAGTGTGAAAACAGTCTGGCACCGAGCGCAGACGCGCTGCAGTCCAAGTCTTGTTTAGCGAGGCTAACGCGCAGCTCGTCGGGAACGGTGACAACGCGTCCCGGTCGATCTGCGGGATTTCTTATTGCCGCCCGAGCGCCGTCCTCCTAAAGCTGCTGCTGATTTCAGTCGTGCCGCTCGTTCGTTCAGTGTTTGCTTTAAAGGCCGCCGGTGAGACGTGTCAGTCCCGATGACATCACAGGACGGTCAGCTGATGCCAGCTTTACCTTCATACCGTGAACATGTTGCAGGACCTCGAGCTACACACTTCACACATGCAGCAGATCTCCACGTGACAGGAAACAAAACTGCGACCAGATCAGTTTTCACAGTCAGACGAAATCATCACTAAAGTCTTGCATCATGAAAGATCAGCTGATTCTGGGGGGAGACTAACTGGTGTAACCTTGAGTCGGTGATGGCTGCAGTTTGTGATCCTGCTGGTCTTACTGGTGTGTCGCGCTGCAGGGCTGCGGGCCTTGTTCTAAAGTCTTTGTTTCCTGGGTTTGGGGGGGGGG